GGGGGAAGGGGGGGACAAAGAAAAAAAAGTTTTGTTTTTATGCATTTTTTTTTTTTTTTTTTGCTCACTTTGCTTTGGCACAAATGGCATATTTGCATGCATGGCCTTTTAACAAGCATTAATGATGGAATCATTTTGAGATGGAGAGCCGTTCTTTGTAAGGCATGAAGGAAGGATTGTACTATACATTAGTTTACAGACAGCAGATCAGATTTACAGCACTTGGGTGATGATGCCCGGGCAACAAATATATAAATATATATGTAAAAAATATGTATTACGACTGAATACTATCATTATGTGATCAAGTTGTATTGCTCTTGAGATATTCATCTCGCATAGACTGCCAACCAGCCACAGCACCAGCTACGGCACATCGCCATGCAACAACTCCCCATCGCCAACCGATTTCTCCCCCTTGCCACGCCTTTACATAGAGCCCACGACCCAATTCAAGAGCAGCATCAGCAACACCCATAATAGCAGACCGAAAGATAACCGCCAAACCCACCAAAGAAGCCACAGCAGCAAAAGCAAAGTAATATTTCGGACCAACACCCCGCACACTCTCCAGCTTCCGTTGAATCTTGCCCGCACAGTCATCGTATCTGTAGAGATCGCAGCCCCAAACGTGTGTCTTATCGTAATAGTACGCGGCATACCACAAGGGTGTGCGGCCGTCCAAGTCTTCAACTTCGTAATGCGTGGCCGGAGTGTACTCTAGCAAAACGTCCATGGCATCGTCGTGGCCTTTCATTGCGGCAAGATGAAGCGGTAGGCGACCCTTTTCGTCCGCCACGCAGGGGAGGTTACGACCGTACATTTCTTTATTGTCCTGTTCTGTTTGGGACCATTCCATGAGTGCCTTCACAGCGCCGGATTTTCCGTATCTGGCTGCCCAGTGCAATGCTGTCTGGCCCAGATTATCCTTCACTTCAAGGCATTTCCCTGAACAGCCTTTCAAAAGGGCAGTCACGAACTCAGGGATACCGATTCTACAAGCGTAGTGCAATGGCGTGGCGCCCGTTAGAGTATCCTGCGCGTATGGAGATGCTCCTTTGCCGAGCAGAGCCTGGATAAGACCTGTGCGGCGTGCGATTTGTGTTTCGGTGCGTTGCCTAATAATAGTACCGTCTTTGAACAGGCGCATCGCTTCATCTTTGGACAGTCCTTCTACTTCAGGACCAAGGAAGAATCTCCCATCCCGGACATTGAAAGCATCTGGGTGAAAACCCATGGATGCAAAATGCAAAGCTGTCTGGCCATGTTTGTTCACCTGGTCAATCGCCTGGGCGTCAAGTATCTCCAGTAAGGATAGCGCCGTATCTGGTGCTCCTGTGCGTATCGCTGCGTGAAGCGGAGTGTTTCCATCGCCATCCCCCAAAGCTGAATCTGCCCCCAAATTCAATAGATGCTGAATGGCGTCGGCGTCGGCGTTTTGGTCTCCGGAGGCAATAATCAAAGGCCGAGTAAAGCCACCATTTAGACGAGCTATTTTTTGGTTCACGTCCACGTTCCATTTTAAAAACTGTTCGAAAAAATCCCGGGGGTAGCTTTTACCGCGATATTCAGAAAGAGCCTTGCTCAGCTGTCCAGCAGTATACGGAGTGCCTCGACGCTGTGCCTGTTCGTATACTTTGCGAATCACGCCTAAGCGACCGGAAGAATTGCCGTGGCGCGCGGCATAGGCCAAAGGCGTCATATCCCCATTTGTCTGGGCAATAGGATTGGCTCCATGCGCGAGAAGCAAATCTACCGTCTCATTAAAAAGGCTTCCTAGTCCTATGGCGGAGAAGAGCGGTGGGAAGTGTCGTGGCGTGTTTGGATCTGCCCCTGCTTCCAGCAGCATCTCAAGGATGTCGATTTTGCCTTGAGACGAGGCAAATAGCAAGAGATTCTGTTTCGTCTTGACGTTTGAATCTGCACCTTTGGCTAGAAGCCATTCCACCCCTTCCGCCGACTTTGCGTGACGAACGGCATACTCGAGAGGCGTGTTGCCTTGGTAGTCCTGGCTATCTATGTTCCCTCCATTTTGAAGCATAATTTCCGCAGATTCAAGATTTGGCGTCTCTTCTGAAAACACCCAGTGCAGTGGAGTTGCTCCGAGAAAATCTTCAAAGTTTACGTCTTCCCCTTCAATAACCAGCTGTTGAACTGTGGCTGGGTTATCCAAGGCGTCGAACAGCCGTGATTTTCCGGCTCTATTCATTGACTTTGTTTCCTGCTTGATCTTCTCCTTTTCTTGCTCGGTTCGCTCCATTTCGCCGTAGAATAAACTATTCTGGCGTTCAATCTGATGTATCAAATCGTCAGAGAGATACGCACATTTATCAGAACCATCAAAATACACGCCAGATGCACACATATCGATAAAGTCCATGATGCTCAAATTACTGGCGAAAGACAGGCCAGTATCGGGAACTGGATTTTCTGGATATGCTGCAATCCTTGGATACGCTGAAATCTTTTGCGATGGCACTGTGTTGTCAGCAACGCCTAACAAGACGGCAGCCAGCGACAGGTAATGTTTGACTGCTGACATCTTTGCCCATTGAGAAGTGCCATTGAAATAAGTAGAACTGAGATGACGCGGATGTTGTTGGTTCAGGCAGCAGCAGGGTACTTGTCCCATCCCCGCCCTCTTTTTAGCCACGTGTCTAGAGGATCAAAATTCCATCCTAGTGTAGCGTGCCGTGCTGTTGTGCGCTTTATGAGGCAGAAGGAAATCTTTGGTGGAGATGAGGGTATAAGGATTCTGGTTGCTCTAACAGTATATTTAGAAATGAAACATGCATTTCGGGCTAGCACCGTTTGCTCCATAAGCTCATCAACTTCTTCCCAAGAGCAATCTCAGTTACAAACTAGCAATACAACAGCGAATAACATCGCATTCAATCATTTCCTGGGTATGTCTATCGCTCTCGTCGTTACTCCAATGCTTTGTGGCGTCACATCGCGTGAAAACCGCGGTGTTGGAGCTGATGCATTCCTTCCAAAGTTATTATAACCCTGGGTAAGAGGCCGAATCTCCGCTGCCGGCGATGGGGCGTATGTAATGTTAATCAGGCGTTCTTGGCTTGGAGCGCCTTGGTATCTGTAGCCATCTTGCGGATTTACCAGTTCTTGCAGTCGCTCGGACTGGGATATTGGCGCGGAAGAATAAGGGCTCGCCCGGGCTGGTAAATTGGCGGATTGGTGTCGACCGAGACTTTCATATGTCTGTGGTCTTTGCTGACGTGCGTAAGATGAAGCAGAAATCGGCTGGCTGCCGTACAAGGGCGTGTTTGTATTGGGTGCAGTGCGATAATAGGTATTGTTGCTGGCATGAGACATTGTGTTAGAGGCAGGGGCGTTTCCGTAAGCTTGTTCGTCATCATAGAGCACAGAATAGAGCTCTGCATCATGAATGCCTGCGTACTGCTGTCTGGGATACGGTATATAAGCTGGCTCCGGCTCTTCCTTGGGTGGAGACGCATTGGCAGGAGCAGAGAAAGACGGCATTGGATTCCCCATGCCGATTTGTCTGTTTACAGGATGATTTACACGCTCTCGCAGATATCTTAGCGCTTCGGACGTATTAAAATAGCTGACGATATGCCACTGCTGCTCCAAACGTGCGGCGGTATATGCATCGGCTTCCTTCTCGACCACAACAGCATGCCCATCGTGGGGTCGTAAGTAGTACTCAAAAACCACATATGGGTTAGCACCATATTGGCAAAGACGCTCCACGCATGCCTGCTGCCCGAACGAGGCCGCTATTTGGACAGCCTTATCCAAGCCGGCCTGAGAAACAATTCGCCACAAGGGATCGAGGAAGACCTTCAAGCAGTCAACATATCCGAACATGACCGCAAGATCCATTGGCAGTAAGCTTAGAAAGTTCGTCTCCATGTCCGCTCTTGCACCGTGTTGGATTGCACCGTGTTGGCGAAGCAACTTGACGGCATCTTCGTGTCCTCCTCTACAGGCTGCGTGCAAAGGGCTCCTCCCCAAATCATCTGTCAGGTTGACAGATGCTCCCAGGCGTATTAGAGACTCTATAGCGCGACAGGCGCCTGCAGCAGCGGCATGCCAGAGGGGAGTCCGGCCGTACTGATCCCCAGTTTCTATGTTGAAAACATAAAGACTGCGAGCGACTAGAGCCTCAATCGCATTCACGTTGTTCCCAGCAGCGGCTCGATGTAGCGGGGTTTCGTCAAAAGCATTTCGAGGCGCCGATCCAGTGTGTTGCCAGCTCCAGTCCAGCAGCTCTTTAAAAAATTGCTCACCAAGCTCCGTGTCAGGGGTGGATGCTGCAGCAAGATGCAGCGGTGTCTCGGAAAAGTGCCTTGTCCTCTCGTCCGCAAGCCATGTGACCTCTCCTTCATCATTGAGATGAGCCAGAGCACTCCAAACCGCATTATTACAGAGTGCGGCAACGTGAATAGGCGACAGGCCGCTCTCTGTCACCATCTTGCGTTTGGCCCCATGCTTTTGGAGCAGCATGATGCAGCCAATAGAGCCGCCTGCAACAGCCCAATGCAGTGGTGCAAACCCATATGCATCAGTGGTTCTTGAACTAATATTGGGGGCCTTTGTATCAATGAGCATCGAAGCCCGATCTGCATCTCCAATAAACAAAGCTTCAGCTAGCTGTTCGATGGCGCTCAGTGTATTTGAGCCGCTTTCTGCTTTTCTCTGTTGAAGTTGTGACATGAAGTCGTAGAGTGGCTTCATAAAAGCACCGTCTCCTAGCAAAGACGTCGCTCGAACAGGCTGCACCATCCACGTCAAAGGAGACGAGGGGTCTAGTCCAAACTGAGAGCTAGAAGACCAGCAGAATACTTCAGTCATTGCTCTCGCCCCCGAATTAGGAGATGTGGACTTTAGTATCTGATTGCATGTCGATAACTTCATAGGATTCGTGGAGATCTGGAATGTCGTACTCTCAGCTAGTAGCTCAGCTGTCAGGGTCACTAAGATGGAGATGTAGAGTCGTCCTTGAAGCTGTACGCCCTCGACCGATGCGCTGCTCGCCAACGTCGAGTCCTCTCCAAGGGAATTACGGAGAGTTGCCGAGGTAATATCGTTATTGTTGGACTTGTGAGTGATTTTTTCAATCTTTTTGTTGATCTCTTGGAAAACATGCTCGAGAGACTTGTCGCGATATGCCAATTGGAAGCACCATCCCTCCCATTCCATTGTGTTCAATCGCCGCAAACCCACGACCACGTCCACTTTCTCGGAAGACTTGTCGATACTCTGGAACCTAAACACCCCCATGGCTTTTAATTTGCGAGAGTATTGGACGCTGAGTGTCATGGTGGCAGAATTCCAGTTGTGCGCGGGATACTTGTCGAATAGCCGATATTGAACGCCATCAGAAGAACCAAGTCCTGACTCGACATTGAGAGGCGAGAGTCTGAACTGCGGAAGGTGATAGTATACCGGCTGCTGCCTTATGTATACCGAGCGGTATCCCTCTTCTCGCCGGTTTGAAGAGGACACGGGCCGCTTGAAATGCTTCGTTTTGGGCTGCAGCCTTCCAAACTGATCCTCGGAGAGCCGCCGCAGATGAAGTGCGGGACACAGATGGACGTCTCGGTCGCGCTTAACACAGTCGAGAATAGCAAAGTAGTCTTCTTCCATGACGGTTTCGTCTGTGAATGTACGTGGCAAGAGATAGAGCTGGACGCGAAGGCCCTGGTTCGTCATGGCGGATGGAGCACTTGCATAGACTGGTAAGGGGGGCAGGACTTGCAAGTCGCCGGCATCTTTGAATTGAGCTGGAGACTGTGCGAGTAAGCCAAAAAGAGCATCTGGGTCTTCTTCTGCATCATCAAATGAGTTCCATGCAAATATGGACTGGTCGTCGGTACGTTGGATGATTTCCTCTTGAAGTCTAGTAAAAGCACGCTTTCCTTCACCGTACAGAAGTGGCATGTTGACTTGGAATAATCCCATCAAGCAGTATGCCGTATCTTCGAGCCTGGTAGTGTTTCTATGAGACGCCCAGGCCATGCGAGCAGACACACTCAGCTGAAGGGGGTCGATGGTGCCGTCCAGCACTTCCTCATCAATGTTAGTGATTTCGCTGATGGCCTTTGCGAATTCCGGGGGAGAGTGTTTTTGGCCAAGGAAGCTCCAATCATTGGCGTAGAAGAGAACGAGCTTTGGCGCAACAAGCTCCTGGAGCGTCCATCCCCTCGTGAACCACCGACTGTTACGGAGACTCTCGTCGAATGCGCCGGCATCTTGGGTCGTCGGCGGCTCGACGTCGGAAAGGTACGCATAGCACTCGGCAGATTGCTCGTACCACAAATACATGGAGTTGATGGCCTCGGACAGTTCAGAACTGCTGGACTTGTCGATACAGCAACTGTCGAACCAGAGGTAGTCGAGTCCTCGACTGACAGCCAGTCGAGCGGCACCAGCGATTTTGACGTAGCCCCTTTTTGAGAGAATAGCTCTCCTCTTTTTATCCAACGGTTTGGGAGACGAGGACGCGAGATGCAAATATCCTCCCAATCGCCGCAGCTGTTGAATTGTGACCTCCTCGTCGCCCCAAGTATGGGAGATGATGGCGTAAGGAGGGACATCGTCGTCGAGGATGTCGACCAACTCTAGCGTTTTGGCGTCTAACAAGCGCATTGTTCATTGCCATCGCCGAGCCGAAGAAGAAAACTGAGCAGGTTTGCTTCTAGTGTTACCGTCCACAGGTTATCTATCCTTCAACTCGCCCTACGCACAAGATCTGAGCCCCGCCAGTAGGATTCGGGTGCGGCTGTGCGGCGAGGCTTTCGCATGCCTAGCAGCCATCCGGCGCAGGATCCTTGAACCGTCCAATGAGCCATTGCAAGTCCCTCGATAGTTCGACAAGCAGCCAATAGATGGAGCTATCTGGGCATTTGTGTGTGTTGCTTGCGTGGCCCTAAATTAGCAGTTCACGGTCCAAGGCAGCGAGGCAGATTCGAGTCGAGCAAATGCAAATGCAGATCAAGCGACCATCGCGGCTAAGCCCGGTCTGGCATGACGGCTCGCTAAGAGCCGAGCCTAGACCCCGTCGCTCCACCGGACTGAGAGCGCTAAAAGGCGGCTGGAGCGCTATTGTCTGCTGAAAGTGCCCCAGATCAGCAGCAGCCACCTAATGAAAAGTGAGTCGGTGGATGAGAATGACAGCTTTCATTTCGTGCACAGCTTCAAGACTGAATTTGAAACAAAAGGTGTATGCAACATTTATCAAAGGCTCTCAACTCACGCAGTTATTATCTGCTGAACCTTACCCAGCTCAGCGCAATACTGAACCCTAATGACTAGTGCCAAACCACTCAGCAGATGAGAATGGCAACTGTGAATTCTGTAAATGGAGATCAGGCTGAGGTTGAAAGCAAGCCTGTATGGATTATCAATCAAAGGCAGTTGCTTGATATGTTGAAAGCACAATATAAATGTCCCGGAACACCGCCCCTCTCAATACTTCCCAAGCTCTAAGTTACACTTGTATTCTCATGGAAGCCTTTGACCAAATTTCAACCACTCATCGATTTTTCCCTCAAGCCTTGTGCTTAAACTAATAGACAGAGGGCAAGAATATATACTGGTACGTTAACTTCATGATTGTATACATTCTTACATTTTCATTTTCATTAGCGCTGTCATTATCATTTCCTACTGGCGCACTCCCTGTCATTGCGCCATCCCGCCCCCACGCCATTTCATTCGCTCTGCTTTCCTAGCTCACACGCAAAAGGTATCTATATATACACGCATGTAGTGCCGCTTCCGAGTAAATCATTTGTATATACACCATCATCCGTAATCATCTGATATTTTGGATTTCCTCCTCTTTTTTTCTTTGTTCACAGCCAGGTACTATTATTGCCAAATCCCTGCGACATCCAGCTCCCCCCGTTGGTAGCCCAGAGATTCATGTCCACCCCCATGGCATAGTCAAATCCGTCATCGAGTCCCAGCCCTGCAAAGGCCCCGTCATAGGCGTTGTTCAAATCCGACTGCGCGTAGTCTGATCGGGGTGCAGATAGCTCGGGCGTCTCGCCCTTGTTGGGATCTGCAGCATGCATCTCTGGCGGCAGCGTTTGCTGGTCGATGGTGGACGCAAAGCCGCTATCCGACATCCACGGAGCTGTCATGACAGGATGAGTAAAGGGCGAGACGGTGTTGTTGGACGCATTGGGAGGTGAGCTGAAAGGCTGCATGCCGGCCGAGGAGGAAGCATTCAACACATCTGACCCATCTGCAAACCGGGCGTCTTGAGGAATAGTCTGCGACGGCATGATGTTGCCTTGGATGGAGCCGGCTCTTCCTTGGCTAATCAACCTCTCAAGGTCTGTCACGATGCAGTCCACCGCAGGTCCTACGCAGCAGTCCTTGATGGTCTGCAGACAGAGCTGCGCCTGCTCCATGACTGTCTCTGCTGTGATGCCAAAGCGGCTGAAGAGATCAAGCTGGAAGAGGTACATGAGCATCCGAGCGCACTGGTACGCACACATGGCGAGGTCAATATCCGCCACCGGCTTGGCATCAAGCTTTTGTATCAGTGAGAATATGTGAGTCAGGGCCAGGGCATGATCCACACATTGCCTGTGGCAGTGATCGAGGAATGCTTGGTCAAACATTTCGAGCATGGACTGCGGCAGTCCGCCGTTCACATCGGCCAAGGCGAGGCGGTAGAGGTCACAATAACACTGGCGCCACCAGACGTGGATCATGACGAAGACGCAGATTCGCGGGGAGTAGGCGCGGAGGCGCAAGGAGTTTTCGGAAAACTGAAAAGATGTCGGTAGGTTGGCCGCAAAATCGCTTAGCTCCTTGTCCAAGGCAAGAATACGGCCTTGCAGCTCAGCAGGTTCCATTCCGCGGTCATATTGCGCCACCCTGGTGAATTCGATAATCTTCTGGCGAATATATAAGATGCGCGCATGGAGAGCCAAGGTTCCTACGTCCTCGGCCAGTGGTGGTCGTGGCTGGTGCGAATCTGGCACAAGCTTTTCTGTATGCTGCGGCAGGTCGAATTCGAAGTTGCGCTCGTTACAAGGCAAGCTCACATGGATCTGGTCGGCCCTCCAGAGAACAAAATCGGGGTATCCGCCACAAACACTGGTATCGATGCAGTACATGGCCCACATGAGGCGCCGACGAGATTCCTGCGCCAGGAAACGAAGGTGTGGCGCCTCGTAGTTGAGACGCAGCGCGGTGGCATAACGAGAAGCAAAGCTGTGGAGGACAAAGGCGCTGGAGAACCTGTTACAGAGAATGCGATGCTTGATGACGAAGACGAGTGCCTGGATTTTGACAATGGAGAGGCGGCTGTAGTCGGCGAGAAGAAGGGCCTCGGCTTTATCGATGCAGTGATTTCCATATTCGCGCATGCCGGGGCCCATGTTGGTCAGGCATGAAGTGATACCGACAATGGCCAGCAGAAGTGGTCTTTCGACTTTGCCAGCCTGATATTGCTCCATAAGAGAAGCTCGATGCAAAAAGGTGAACATGGGCATGTGGTGGACATGGCGGAAGAAGAGGTCGAAGGCGCGGTTCACGATGGAGTCGAAGCTTTCGTCTATAGAAAGGCTGAGACTGAAAGTTAGCGGCTGTGGCTCTTACAAAGAATGTCGCCATGTAGAGCTTACCGTTCGGCGATATCCGGCCCAGGACTCACAGAGCTGGCCTGGTCAGTCAAGGCTGGGCTTTCGTTGCGTAGATCATCCTGATCTCGATTCTCTCCCTGACTGCGGCCGTCTCGGCCACCTTCTCGATCTGATTCTCGATCTGGGCTGTTGGGGCTCTTGACGAGTGACAACGGCTTGGCTCGCTTGCTGGGCCGGTAGACACACTCGATGCCCTGGACCCGACACCGCTCACACGAGGGCAGATGGCCGGAGCACCGGGCCTTGCGGCTGTGGCAGCTCAAGCAGGCCTGCTTGACACGCCGCCGCGGCAGCGCAAGAGACCAGGCGTCGACGTCGGCATCGTCGTAGGAGCAGGGGAATCCCAGGCGCTGGCAATTGCCACAGCACGGACGCGCCCCGTTGCACCGCACCTTGCGGAACCGACAGACGGCGCACGTCATGGACGACTTCTTGGGACGGCGGTCGATGGACAGGGATCCGGGGCCGTCTGCAGCGGGTTGAGGCTCCGGGAGCGACGACCCGACGAGGCCAAAGGACGGCATGTCGGCCCCGGGCGGCGGGTCGAGGTCCATCACGGCGACTGACGCTCCGGAGAGGGACGAGGCCGAGGGCGAGAAGCTCAGCGACGGTGGCGACTGCGTATCGATGAGCAGGAAGGGAGAGGCTGCGGCGAAGAGGCTGGACGGCGTCGAGGCGGCGGACAGAGAGAGAGAGCTGGAAGCTTCTCGGAAAAACTGGGGGTGGCTCGGCGTGGACACGGACGGGCGCAGCGCAAGTGGCTTATAGTGAGAGTAGAGCTCAAAGTTGTAGAGCAGCTGGATGCATGGACGAGACCAATTAGTGGAGGATCAAGAGCTGAAGTCAAACAAAAGAGGAGCAGATGATTCATGTGCTGTGTGTAGGTACATGTAAGAAAGGACGAAAAAAAGATGGAGCTCACGTACCGGTTGAGGAACTTTTGGCGCCGCGGTTACTGGTGGGTACACGCAGGTACCCTCAGGATGGTCCAGGCCCTCCATTTGCAGCGACGGGCCACTGAAAGCAGCGCACTGGCGATTCGCGATACTTGGCAGGGACAAAAGATGACAAGAAGCGTGCAGTTGCAGCAGATGCCGACGACCCGAGGTAGAGCGGCGCCGATGATCCGATAAGCGCCGACTCTTTTCTTAAATTAACTGAATGCAACTGCCGTGTATCATGACATACAGATTGATGGCATATACTGTAAGTGCAGTTTGGAAGTTGTGCTTATGTAAGGAGAAATAATAAATAAATAAGAAAGTAAAGAAAGGTTTGTGGCCAATTGCTGTTAGAGAAACCCTGAGACTTAAGTTGTCTTGAAGTTGTCTTGACTTACAACAACTTTCAACGAGTTGCTGCAACCACTCGCATCCTTATGAATACATATCGCATCGGTGCTGCATCTCCTATATACTGTCATGCAAGTCTCAATCAACCAATTCCGTCATTTTCGCTGCTGGCCCTCGTCCCGAGCAAATACACGCAAGGCGCAAAAAGTAGAATCCGTTAAGCCTGGCATTTCGGACTGGGGACTCAGCCTCCCGGCATTCGGAGAGGCTTGCACGTGTTTGGCTGGCGATACAAAGCAGCAGGACCTCGTGTGAGCGTCCAAGACATTGGCCAGCAGCTGGGTCAGGGGGGGGCCTCCGTCATCTCTCCACAGCTGCGGGTACGCGCTTGTACGAGCTGAGCAAGCTGCATAGAAATGAGGCGACGGACTAACGGGAGACTTGATTTGACGGGAAAGCATGAATCAATTTGGCAGATGAGGCGTCGAAATATGAATCAAAGTGAAAGGATTATGGTGCTACAGCTCTCTGGAATGAACGAGTCAGGGACAACAAGCGCAGAGTAGCATCAGATGCGCACCCGACGACAGACCCATACATTCAAATTGCTGATTCCGAAGCCACGGATTCGATTCCACTGAGCTGGCTAAAGACCCGCTAAAACGGCTCGCAGCCTTATCGGTTGGATCGCTGAAATTTTTCACTCTGCTCTCTTCTCGTTGGCTCAGATAACGCCACAGCCATTGTTCTAGATTTCTTCGTTGGATGAAAAGGGCTCCCATTTGGCCTTTATTTCCCGCTTACACCCACGGCGTTGCAGGGGCCTGCCGCCAGCCTGGGTTTGGGAGCATCGAATTCACCTGCCGAGCTGCAGACTACGTCATTTTTTGCACTGCGTATACGGCTATACGGTCAGTCGATTGTGGAAAAGACTTAATACAAGCAAGCAACCTGATGGCAGCAATGAACAAGTGATGAATGGAGGTCTGTGCGAGAATGGAATTGATCTCCCGTTGCTATGTATACGAAGAATCTGGGGAAGGAATGGAGTCTACTCCGGAATCAATGAGAATTGAGTGGTGAGCGATTCAGTAGGCGTTTCTGCAGTATTTCCGGGTGGTGTCGCCCAGCTAAACTGTACGCACAATGGCATCGACATCTATTTCCGCATCACCACTCTCTCCACTAAGTAAAAAAATATATAGCACAATGATCACCATGTGAAAGCTCCTTTTCTTTCTTCATCACCAGTAAAACCTCACTTCTGCCATTTCAGATCTTCCGAGATTCCGTCTCCCGGCCCGGCGTTCGGCTCTCCCGGATTCTCTCGGGCTCCACCACGTTCCCCGAGTCAAGTCCGGCGTGCCAAATCTGCATGCCGTCACCGTCACCAGCCCGGACAGTCGGCAGCAGCCGCCTGAAACCCACAAGCTTATGCTTCTCGGGTTAAGCATCGCGAGTTGCGCCCATTCTAAGCCTGAAATGCCCACCGGTGGCCCTAGGAAAAGACGTCATACGGCAGCTTTAGCAGCGTGTTGGCCTGTGATGTCGTCTCATCTAACGTCCACGCCATGGTTGAACTGAGTCTAGCTTCGTTGTCTTTAGACAATGCCAGGGTGCTATACGGCGTTGATGGACTTGAAAGAATTTTTTTATTAGAGGTACTAGGGTGCTCAAAAGCCTGTTCGCTCTCAAGATGCGTACATACATAGATCTTTAGCGCTTAGACCGTTAGATCGGGACGACTCATGTAGCGCAGATCCGCTCTGCCTTGTAAACTTTACCATGGCGCCATAGCCTTATCTTCGCGTCAGCCTCGTCTTCCATCGTTCTATTGTGCCAGAGTGGCAATATACTCGGGCAGCAGTTGTGCGCTCCGAACTATCATTCATACTCAAAGCGCACGATTGCGTGGCCTCCCCCTTTTGCGAAACTCTTCGGTTGAGATTTGAGAGTTGAGAGTTGAGAGTTTCACTGACGAGCAATTGCCGTCAACAAGAGACTTGTTTTGGGCCTAGCTAATGGTAGTACCAACCATTCAAAGTGATTGCCAGCTGTTGCCAAGAAAGGTTCCTGCATACGTCGATCTTACCTAATGGCATCTTGATGCGTGGACCGCGAAACACCCTAAACGGCTAGGAGCGTTCATCAAGTGGTCGATATAAGCTCTGATCCGACCGAGATTCTTAGTAATGATGCCTATGGAAAGTACTTCTGTGTTTCGTGTTCTAGAATAGCGTGTATTGTCGCTCAGTGTCGCTTCTGTCTCCAAACCTCTTCGTGCAAGCTGAGCTGTACTCTCGTTTTCTCCTGAGGCGCATTGCAGAGAAGCGATGGCGACGATAAATGACAACAGCAGAGATTGCATTACATTTCCGTTTCATCAATTTCATCAAGTATATACCATAAAACATTGTCTACCCGCTACTGAGGTGCCACGAAGAGCCATAGAATAGCATTTGGGCTCTCGTCCATGTTAACTGCCCAGCCTCAGAGCTTCACAGAGGCTAATGGAAAGAATGGTGAATGAGAAGAGAGCCACGAAAACAAGAATAACGAAATCATCTTGTTAAACGATTGCAGCCCGATCAAGAAGTTGCTGAGAATTAGTGACAGGCTTACCAAGCCCGTATACCACTCAACAGCTTTCCATCACTACGACCATAGCTACGACAGCCCAACGCTTATACGAGGTTATACATGGCAATTATTCACTCATCACGCCTTACGATACTGCACTGGTACAATAGTTGCGAAATTGCACGCGACATCAGCGTTCGCTGGAGTTATTGATGCCGTCACATCTCATGGGAATAACCTCATTTGCAACTCAGAACACCCAATGGAGCAAACTCGGGGATAGTCAACGACTCTCCCCGCTTTGTTACCATTGTTAGCAAGCAGATGATCCTCTATAATGTTCAGTACCGCCCTGCCTCGCGCCAATCGTCTTCCATTGTCGCATTCTTTCACTGTCATTTAATTTCGTGAGCAGAGTCAGCTTCAATCACACAATCATCATGATAAAGGAAAAGAAAGTCACCACGCCCGCAATATACACTCATAGCTCTGTCACGCACGTGTTTCATACGCATCAGGTCTCCCCCAAGGCTAAACCATCTCTCTTTTACTTTCAAGTAGGCCCGTATGCCAGCATCCCCATCCCCATACCATTCGGCCCGTTCAATATACCAGTCTGGGGCCGGGCCCCGCGCATCAGCTCCAGACATTTCCGCTAACTCAATGCCGCCAAGATTTTCCACGATTGTCAGGAACATTCACTGGTCACAACGACTCTCTCTATATCCTCCAATGACACGATGCCACAGCCAGTATTGTAGGTAGTATTGCCTGCATTATGTTGTAATGCTTGCCGTCTATCCGTCTTTCTAGTCAAAGTCATGGGAGACTGCCGCAACCTCAGCTTCTTACTAGTTGACCAGTAATGATTACTGAAGGATTTTCTTCATTCTCTGGGGGAGGAAACTGCCGCCTGTTAAAAGGAGAGCAGTACCACCCCGTCTCGCCTCTCATTGGCGGGCTTTTGGTCCCCCGCCGGCCTGTGGGGAGACAAAGTGTCACAAGATATGGGGAAAGACGCACTTCATCTGCTGCTAGTACCGAAGAGTATCCTAACCCTAGACCCCCCTGGCTCCGAGATGATGCAAATTTATTAGCGTCGCGGCATTACTCGCACGGCCGAAACCACTGGCAGTTTCTTTGCGTTGATACCGCAAACTTGGGCGAAAATAGTCAATAATTGCCGCGACTCCCCGGCCTATAGGTTGGATGGGCATGTATGTATGAGTGGCATATAGGAGTACAATTACAGAGCCTCAAAAGTCGGGAACAGAGGCCTCTCAAAAGTAAATTGACTTTGCAGGACGTTGTAATTTCCTCGCTGAAACAGCCCCCTCTATCGCGTGTTTTTGGCGCTTCCATGTATATTCCTTACTCGGCAGCTAGACACTTGTAGTCTCTATCGTGAGACATCTTCATAATCTGCTTGGACAATAACCGCCACGGTTGTACATCCCAGTCAAGCCATCTCGCTGTGCCCTACCTAATTCACGCTCACCTCCCGCGAAATTCCAGCCCAAACCTATCATGCTCAATATCCCGACTTTTCGGATACGAATGAATGCGGGGAGATGCGGAGCCGAAATGCGCGACTGCTGGCTGTGCTGCCTCTCCGCAAGTGACAAGGCCTTGAGAAGCGGCCGATTGTGGGGAAGACAGAAAACAGTCACGCATGCTTGTTTTTTGGCTCATTCTCCCCGTATCCTTGTTTGACAATAAAAGCTCCGACGCCAATTGGCTGATTACTCATTCTACCCTACTCGCTCTCATCTTAACCCTCAAAATATGCACAGAGCAGAGCAACTTTTTATAAACAAACAGTTACTCTAATTCTTCGTATTATTATCTGTTTCAGCATATGGATGTATCAAAATAGATCATCTTCCGTCAGACGGTTACAGTGCAGTCGAGCCCTAACAGAACAGACGGATCTCCCCAGCTGTCCCCATGTCTTCTCCCCCAGTTCAAGACCCACCATCCCGAGCCGGGAGGTTACCCAATTAGGCAATTGGATAACTTCTTGGCTGCTTGGCCGCGGGATTGAGCACAGCAGCTTGTCTAGCAGCTTTTGAAAGGAGCGCTAGGTGCTTGTAGTGAAGAGTTTACTTTTTTAATCTCAATTACTCAGG